GTCTGGTTTGAGTGAAAACACACACATTTGTTTTTAAGCTACAGCTATACAGTTATGAAGTAGTCTATAAAACAACTAGCTGTTTAAAACACTGTTGGACAAAACTGCTTTTAAGATTACACTGATTGCTGTGTTTATTACAAGTGGTGAATGTGAGTAAAAGCACAGTAGCTATCTTTGAGACATAGCTCTTTCCTTAGGTCTGGTTTGAGTGAAAACACACACATTTGTTTTTAAGCTACAGCTATACAGTTATGAAGTAGTCTATAAAACAACTAGCTGTTTAAAACACTGTTGGACAAAACTGCTTTTAAGATTACACTGATTGCTGTGTTTATTACAAGTGGTGAATGTGAGTAAAAGCACAGTAGCTATCTTTGAGACATAGCTCTTTCCTTAGTCACTGTTTAACAGCACCAGCCTCCTTTGCCCCTGCATCCTCTATGACTTCTCTGTTGCCTTGTGGTTTATTTCTCTGTCACTATCTCAAAGCACTGAGATACGTTAATGAGATCACGTGGAAGAAAAATGAAGGCACAAGCAAAGAATTGGTAATTTTGAATATTCTTTTGATATCAAAGGAGCTGGGAAATGGAAGCACTGTCCACGTAATTCTTACAGTTTAACTTGCTTTAATAAAACAGATGCTCTAGTCAATTTTTTATTCCTGTACAGACACCAGGATAAAAAGGAAAGTGAGATAAAAAAATGAGAGTAATATGATTTCCCAGATCAGACTGTTGAAATTCTGTGAGATTAAATAAAAATATTCACATTTATAAACTAACCATAATGATCAAACCTTCATTACCTTCCATTCATTTACTGTGCCCAAATTTTATGTTTAGTTCCATGAATGTCATTTATATCTCTTTATAGAGTCTTTAAAAAGAAGTGAAATAGGCAAAGGATGTGCAGTGAATTTTTTAAAAATTGACTTTTTAAACATCCTGAATATAACACAAACTCTTGAAGTTCCCAGTACAGATGACTGGAAGCAGCACTGTATCCCCTATTATGTGCAGTGACTTTTGCAGATGTTTTGAGGCACTGCTATATAAAGCTTTGCACATTTTGTAACAATCGTTTCACAAGTGAGTCAGTCAAGATAGAATCACCCACGTATGAGCAGTAAAGTTTAATACAGTGTATATTAAATAATGAATTATTCTCTTTTGCGGTCTGGCTGTTCACACATTATTATATTCATGTCTGTATCTTTTTGTTTTGTATTTAATTCTTTAACTATTTAAGTCATGGCTACCAAGGCTTACAAGATCTGTGGCTTTTCTCCTACCAGGCAGGAAAGGGATACAACTAAAGAAAAAATGATGTAGGGGAAAAGGCAGCTTCCATTTTGGAGAGCTGTGAGTGTGGCACAAAACCAGGTATGCAACCTCAGGGGACTACTTGGCCATACATTTGGGGGCAAGCTTAAGGTCCCTTTGTGCTACTCTGGCAGACAAATGGACATAAAACCTGGTAAAAAGGAACAGGATCCACAAATTTGGATGAGGTTCAGTCAATAATTTGGACTTCTGCCTGCTTATCTGAACTCATCCTAATGGTCACTCCAATGTCAGATTAAACATATTCTAATATACAGGGGGATGGAAGTTTAAAAGTGAAACATTTCTAAACTAGCCTCCGTTCCACAACGCAGAACATCCAAATGATCAAAATTAGCATATAAGAAGCCAGGGAGTGAGATCCTGTGCGAAGAAGTAACACCATCTGATGTAAAAAGATACAGTTTTGACATCAGCAGTTTAGTGTAGCTCAGTTATTTTAACAACCTACAGCAACAAGAAAAAGCAGCTATTTCAGAACAGACACCAGCCTGAAAGACCTAGATATATGTCTTTCATCCACATCTCTAGCTCTCAAAAATGTATGAATTCTTCTGGTAGCCTCCAAACACCTTCCTAAATAAATGCACAGTCCTAATGAAATGCCACAGGGTAAAAATCACCCTTTTGTAGGAAACTTTCTCCTTTTCTAATATCTAGCTTTTAATTTAGGAAAGATAAGCTATTATAGCCTTAACATGCTGATTTGGTGCCCTGCTGCTGCTTTTGACATCTCCCTTTCTTGTAGATGATATGTATTTCTGTAATGTTTCTCCCTTTCTCTTAACAGTTAAAAGTTACACATTTTCACACTGTATGAGGATTAATAAAGTAAAAAAAATGTATTATGGGATTGCTGGTCAGTTTAATTTCATGCAGAAATCACAGTAGTAAAATATTAGTGTACTACTACTGAAACAACTATGCATATTGTTGCCAGGATGCCTAATCTTTTTAACATTGGTTCTAGATATGTTCAGGAAAAAAACCCTACCATTCCAAATAATACTGAGCTCTTACATAGAGTTTTTTATCCACAGGTTTCCAGGAGCTGTACAAAGGCAGAGTCATTATCCCCATTTTACAGAGGTGGAAACTAAATTAAATGAAGTTGAAAGTGACTTGCCCAAGGTCACCCAGCCAGGCAATGGCAGAGCCAGGAATAAAAAGCATGCCTCCTGATGCCCAATCCAGTGCTTTAGCTGCTAGGTCATACACTTAAAAACAGTTTTAATGTATTTATCAAGAAAATGCTTCTGCAGAGACATTTGCAGCACATATGTAGTCCTAGCTTTCCCAAAAGGTTTACACTGCATTATATAAATACATTTAAATACTTCCAAGACTTATTTCTCTCTCTTTAATTCACTTGTGCCTTCAATGGATGATGGAAGAGCCTCCTCCAACTTTTTCTTCAAGACCAACTCAGAGCGTAAACTAACCTTTTTTTGGTTTTGTTTTAGACTACATGAAAATTCTTCCTTAAGAGTGAGGATATATTAGTTTAAGAAGCAAGGCACACAATCCTCCAAAGCCAATCACCCTTTGCAACACTCCCAATATATGGTAGGCCTTTAAATAAGAGACTGAATCTAGATTCTCCCCCAATACAGGGCAGAACACTACAAGAAAAATCTTCTTAAAATATAGATCTATGGAAAAGAAAATTCAGGTGATATACAGAAGCTCAGATAAGATAAAGACATTTGTTAAATTAAAAGCACCTTAAAGGTTAAAACTAACAAGCCTGAAAAAGATCTGGATTGTATTGCAAGCAGGATTAAGTCTACAGAAATTCCAAATCCAAGATACTTATATCTTGTATTCCACATTACACCAGTAAGCAAAAATAATAATTACTAGTACTTAAAATATTAATATTATAAATATTTCTAATAACCAGTTTAAAATAATGTTTATTTAAAATATTGTATTTGCATTTATATAAGAGTTAAATTTGCTAATCTTAGAAAATGAAGTGCAAACTGAAATAAATAATTAAGTCACCCTATCGAAGTTTACACTTGTTGCTGGAGTGGTAAGAATGTTTTATTACACCTTTTTAGACCTTGTTAACTATTGTCATGTAGATTTAGTACCATATCAAAACAAATATTTAGGCAAAATATTTAAATTCTCTCTGAGCATTTTCTATCCTCTTTAAAATTCCCTGTAATTTCCTATTTATAATGGGTTTTTCAGGCCATAACAAAGAAGAATACTGTACCTCTGGTGCTGATGGCTGTTGCCGATGTGGTTGTGCTGGTTGTTAAGGTTACAGTGGTTGTGACTGTTGCAGTGGTAAGTGAGGGGATGACAGTGGTGGGAAGCAAAGTGTTGGAAACATCTGGTGAGTGGAAAAAAATATAAAATAAAATCATATCATGCAAACAAAGGAAACGCATAATAATGGTTCAATTTGTAAATACAAGTATGTAGAAAATGTATAAATTAAAACATGCTTAACAGATTATTACAGGTACAAATAGGGTACCTTGAAATTCTTGACATATCACTCTCTAATTTCATATTCAAACATCTAGGGAAAAGAATTTAAAATACTGTTAAAATGATGACATTTCCACAGATCTAGAGAGTGAATATTTAAGTGACAAGAATCCATTTCTTCGCTGAGCCATTTTAAAGGTCTCATATGGTAAAAACCAAATATAGATGAAACATGCTGTGTCAGAGTGGGAGATGAAAAACAAACCACTATCATGCTAAATAACACACACATGTTAACGAGAAATGGCTGTATGTTAAAACACCTACTTTCAGACAGACTTAATGGAAGGAAAAAGGGGAAATTTCTACTAACTATAAAAGCTGCTCTTTTTCGGTTTGCTTGTCTTCTTCCCACACATTTGTTTAAGACAGAGTTGTCTGCTGAGATCCAGAGCATAGTATATTTCAAACTCCTTACCTTTGCTAGCAGGCAAAATAATTTTACAATCATCCTAAACATGGGATACTTAACATAAAGCAACATTTGATAACCCCTAAGAAATTTCATTTGACATCCAACATGTAGAAACATCTATGATAATTGTATTAGTAAAGTTGTGAGTAGACATGGAAAGAGGTGCAAGTCTTCAACAGCAGTAGCCTAGAAAATCCTTCCCATCTCTTGGTCACACTCTCAGCTGAGCAAATGCAGATCTGCTAAGCTAATGGCACTCATTTTGGTAAGATTGTAATCAGAATTCCTTATAGTAAAACATGATTTGAATATATAGAAAACAATAAACACACATACAGAAACAATACTTAGATGTGCACTGCCAAGGCAATAAAGATCAATGTTCCTTTGCTTAGGAAGGGACTGTAAATAAGAAAAGATGAAAGGAAATAGAGGAAAACACTTCAATAAGGAAGATAAAAGCATTGGACACAGATTTCTCAGATAGATTCTGAACTCCTTCTGGCGAGTACCATCCTTACTATATATGTAGCTCTATTGGCTTCTGTATGGCTAACTTCAGAAGCAAGGTGCTACCCACATGCCTCAGGGGATCACAATTTGGCCCATAATTTCAGTTCTTCCTAGCTACAGAAAGGTATCATTTGCTAAGGACCCAATTATGTATCTCACAGAACACCATCAGGTCCCAGTGAATTCAGTAGTAGTCAAGGATGATCAGCACTTCACAGGAGGAAGACAGTTCAGGAATGGGGTCCTTGAGTTCAGCATTTCCCCACATGTTTACATTATTTTCAGGCTGGATGACAGATTATTTTGTGGTTTAAAAAGTTTCCCTAATATTTCTTCCGTTATTTTACTTTTGATAAATAATATCATTCTTCTTTCTACAGTCTATACTTGCAGAATATTCTATTTTGGAAAACATCAGATAGCTACATGAGATCACTTTTCCACCTTTCATACGCTAATGTTTACACCTGTTCTTCAGTGGGAAATATTCCCAGGCCAGAAAAATTAAGAAAACAAGCTTTTTAAATAATGAATATGGCACATTAATCACTAGAACAAACTGTAATATTGCCTGGAGGGTGACTGCCATTATAATTAAATAGAACTGACTTTAATGAGCATTATAAAGTAATTAACATGTTAAAAAGATATGTTATATGCACCAAAGTACACAATTATGTCCCATAATGTGAAATTCCTTCTTAGATAGATATCTGGTAATAGTTACACTACACTACCCTTACAAAGTGAGGGAGACTTGTTAATGGGCACTAACAGATGATAGTAATATTGGTTGGGCAAGAATAATAATTTCTGATCTTAGAGAAGAATGAAACTAACTATCCAGAAATCAGCATCCAGCTCAAGGCATGACACCAAATGCCTGAGGGAAAATTTGCCCACCGCTTCAAGGATTAAACTAATTTACATATAATCTCTGCTATGTTCAAATCAAAGCAAATGTATACATAATATAAGTAACATTAGGAAAAACTTCCTGTCAGGATGGTTAAGCACTGCAATAAATTGCCTAGGAAGGTTGTAGAATCTCCATCACTGGAGATATTTAAGAGCAGATTAGACAAACATCTCTCAGGGATGATCTAGATGGTGCTTGATCCTACTGTTACTTTCTTAATAGAATAAATATAAATGTATTGTAAACTCTCTGTGGTTAGGCAGCTTTGTTCATAACATGAAATAACTAGAAGGAGGCAACTTGCCATGCTGATATAAGCAGGAGTCAGTTTGATTGCAGAGAAGATCCATTGTTTAACTCTGCACTCTGAGTTATGTCTGAGTCTTCTCAGGATTCTGGAAACATCTAGCTCACACTGGTTATGTTCAGAGATTTTGCTTCAGTCAAGTCACTCTTTTAGTAACATCACATATCACTTGGCACACTCAATAGTATTAGTAACTACATACCTATTGTTACAGCATCCACAAACCACACACACTAAAATTCTGTGGACTGCATCTCATCCTTATATAACACTTTGGCCAACCTAACTAGAGCTGTAGATGATAGTTTTCAAGCACCTGAGTTAATCAGAAGCTACGGTCCCGTATTCACAAGATTTAGCAACTTGGGCTCCTAATTCCCATTGATTTTCTGTGAGATTGAATCACAGAAATGTAGGGCTGGAAGTGAGATGCAACTTCAAGAAATTATGTAATCCGACCCTGTACTGGTGGAGGACAAAGTAAAACTAGGTCCCTGACAGGTGTTTTTCCAGCCAGTTCTCAAAAACCTCCAGTGATGGGGATTCCACAACTTCCCTTAGAAGTCCATGCCAGAACTTAACTGCCCTTATAGTTTATATTAATCTGTAGCAAAGTGGATTTATGTTAAGTCAATCACTTTTTATTCTAAATTCAGTAGACATGGAGAACAATTGATCACAGTCCTCTTTATAAAACCCTTACCATATTTGAATGCTTATCAGATCCCCCTGCACAGTCTCTTTCTCTCAAAATTAACATGACCAGTTTTTTAAACTTTTACTCATAAGTCAGGTAGACTCCTAAAATGTCTCTGCATTTGTTAACATAGTGGTTGTCTCTTCAAAAGTGATTTTGAACAATAGCAAGAAAAACTTTTTTGATTGCCTTACAAGGAGGAGAAAACCATTTGCAACACACTCCACTCCTTCATTGTTTGATGACATAGAGTGAGATATGGGTGATAAATCGTGGGCCTTAAAACCTAGAATGTTTCCCGCAAATCAACCAGATGGCAACATTCTCTAATATAAAGCAAAGTACAACAAAAGTTGCTGTTTAGGGCACAGAAATCACTACTGGTATATTTTTAAAGCTGTGTTGTTGTTGTTCAACTGGTGATACATCAAATTAGTTTTAATCTCAAGCCTCTAAACATTCAAGACCATTATGATCAGAAAGGCCTGAAGACTTCCTGGAACTTTTGTTTTTTACTGCCTATGCCCTGTTGCCTCATGCATATTAAAGTATTCTTCCTAATATTCCTTGTAAAGCATGAAATATTATTTTCATTTTATAGATGTGGAACTGAGGCAGAGCGTGAGTGATTTGTCCAGAGTTTTACAAAGTCAGGGCAAAAATAATAGTTGAATCCAGAATTTTTAAGTCCCAACAAAGAGCATTAAAATTAAGCCTTCTGGTTTGTACGATTGGACATTAAATATAAATTTTAATTAAAAAAATCCAGTAATTCTCTTCCTCAGTT